ACAATAATACCATGTGTACTTTGCACCACAACAATTTACTAACTTACTTTTTGTTGTATCTTGCAGTGTAGGATGATTAGACAGCTCCTATGAACGTCACAGGTTTATTGTAAAATGTGCATGTGCGCGCATGCGTATTAACTAAATGTATGATACCATCACATGTATGCTGAATGGACAGAACACCGGGGAAAAAAAAACCCTGACGCGTGTAGCTTCTCATCACAATAGACAATATCGCCGGGATATGAATTTCATGCCATATTGCACATCCTGACTCTGTATCTAACATCTGGCTGTTCTTACAGTCAGTAAACACCTGCAGATGTCCACAATAGTGAAACATACGATCGTCAATACTAACTAAATAGTCCTGTATTAACGTGTAATTGTATCATTTCAGGTTAATCAGTCAGTTCCTGTCTGAAGCTCCTCTAAATCCATTGGTGTCCTTGGAGAAGGATGGGGCAGTAATGTGTGGCCACTGCACTTTAAAGCAAGTATGTCATGACACAAACACTCAAAACTTGAAAATTACAGATAAAAACAAAGGATAATGATATTTAGAGGAGATTATAACAATTAACTTTTTCTTGTTTGTGAGATGGGGATGAGAAAACAGCCAGCCAGACATATGAAGCCATCGCTGGACTGCAGCATCAGGATCTGAGGGTTTGTGCCTCCAGACTACACATCAACTGCAGCGCACCATACCTCGGAGCTTCTCCGGACGCTCTGCTCTCCTGCACCTGCTGTGGCAACGGTGTTTGGAAAATAAAATGCCCACATTGTGCCAAAGATGCTGGAGTCCTCGCTGCCTCAGTTAAGAAACATTTCTGCATTTGATAACACAAACGGGTCCTATGAACTAAGCAGAGGTCACACAGGTACACCAGGTACAAGCTCAGGTGTTTGTGACAGAGCGGTAGTACTGTGACTTCATGGTGTGGTATGGGTCAGATTATTTTATTCTGATTGTGTCTGATGGTGAGTTCTTTACTGAAGCAGTGAAAAATGTAGAAATGTTCTAATGTTCTACAGGTCAGCATTTTCGCCTGAGCTATTTGCCATATTTTATTTTTTAATTATTGTTACGTTTTGGAGCAGCCAAACTAACACAGGATTAAAGCACATGGTTAAGATTCCACTGATGATATTTTAAGATTAGATTTCATACATAACTGCAGATGTGGCAATATGTTTTTCTGTTTCTACAAATAACACCAGTCTTTCATTTTTTTAAACTGTTACAATTTTATTGGCGTATAACATTTACAGTATTCAAATAAAGTTGCTTTGATATTTTGATTGGAATTGATATATTTATATATTTATATATATATATATATATATATATATATATATATATATATAATATATATATAAATAAATTGTGCTTTTTGTAGGCTGGGCGGAGCCTAAGCTACCCCTGTTGCTAAGCAACATCAATGTCAGGAAATTAGGCTAATGTTTGTAGGGCTGAGCTTCATTCACTCCTGTTGCTAGGCAACATCAAAACAAAAAAGCATGCTTCTGTTTACAGGGCAGAACCTAACTGACCCTTGTTGCTTAGTGACATCACAAAGCCATGACCATCTTGATGTCACATCAAAGGCACAAAATGTTTATATATATGGGAGATATTCTTCTTGGAATCAGTTCAGACTTGAACACAGTGCCTTTCACGTCTCTTCTTGAGTACTCGTAGATTACGTAAACCCGTTATACTTCATACCAAGTATCTTGAGGTTTGTTGAATTTGAGTTCAGCCATGAGTTTTTATCTTTTGGCTGTTTTTCTTGGATTTGTTTTCAAGGCCATTTGGTGCCGCATAAGGAATTTTTCCAAATGCGTTTTAAACCGAATGTCACCTTGTTTTTTGGATTTCTCTAGACGATGGGTTCTGCTTAACGAACGTGGGCAGGATTTGTTTGCGTGCATGAGAGGAATCTCTCCCATTTCCACACGGAGTGAGTCTGAACCAACTGGAGCACCGATACACGAATACTGTCAGGCTTTCGATGCTCCGCTGAATGTTTTCTGCAGCACAATAATTGTCGAACTCCGTGAAAGACTCATTCACAGCAAAGATCGCAACGGCTTGTGGGCGCGGCGAGAAGCGCAGAGACTTCAACTGCTTTCCCGCTATCGAAAACTTTCTGTTTTAGACGATGAAGACAGAGACGAGCAAATGCACATTTGTGAAAACCCTGTCTTTGAAAGAAAGCTGATTATCCGCCGCAAGCCGTTTTTGTTAAACCGCCCTTGCTCTGGTGTGTGGGAACGCCGCCAGCCTTCATGGTCGAGAAAGTATGCCTACATGGCACATCGGAGCTATGAGATGGCTGGTTTGAACCGAACTCGGAGAAAACTGAGTACGGTTCAAAGACCCACTCTACCCTTACAGGAAGCGGTTTTGACCAACAAAGTCTTGGTCAGGTGAATGAAAATAACTCAAGGCTTTAGGGACAACAGAACGCCTGACCCCATATCTTTATTTCTTTATTTTGTACATTTCTTTTTATATACTTATTTTTATTTTGAAAAATATACATTTATATTTATACTTATTATTATACATTTTTATAAATATAGTTTTGTATATTTTTATACATTTATTTTCATAAAAAATTGTATATTTATTTTTATAAATTCATTTATAAAAAAACAAATTATAAATGTAATTTTAAACATTAATTTGTAAAAAAAAATTGTATGCAATTATTTTACTAAACTCCTTTTAAACCAGCCACTAGGGTGCACAAGCCAGTGTATCTCTTGTGCCGGTCCCAAGCCCGGGTAAATGGTGAGGGTTGTGTCAGGAGGGGCATCCGACGTAAAAAACTTTTGCCAAAACTATAATGGGAGTTCATCAAATCGAAACCAAACCGTATCGGTTGAGGCCCGGGTTAAAAAACCACCGCCACCGATACTGTTGACAAACAGGGTGCCAGAGGAAAATTGTGCTACTGTTTGTCGAATTTCCATTACATTACATTTGTAAACTTATTTTTATACATTTATTTTTATAAACATAATTTTTATTACATATTTTTATACATTTATGTTCATAAAATTATTTTTATAAATTAATTTGTAAAAAAAAAGTAAATATTTTATAAATATTATAAATACAACAAATATATTTATAAACTCATTTTTATATGTTTATTTATTTATAATAAATGTTATTCAAATCCTAAATTTGCACTTAAAAAATTGAGTAAACAGAAAGGAGCAGATGTCATAAACTCATGACATCATCATGACACCATGAGTGTTGTGGTGTCATGATGATGTCATGGTGTCATGATGAGTGACACCATGACCTCATCATGACACCATGAGTCGTGGTGTCATGATGATGTCATGATGATGTCATGGTGAGTGTCATAGTGTCATGATGATGCCATGGTGTCATGATGAGTGATGACACCATGGCATCATCATGACACCATGAGTGTCATGGTGTTGTGATGATGTCATGATGATGTCATGGTGTCATGATGATGTCGTGGTGTCACTCAACATGACATCATGAT